CAGTTCTCACTCGTGAGCCCTTCAAGTCAAGTCACGAGCGAATTACAATTATTGAAATTACCAAAACATTGTATCACTTGCAAGACAAACACAAAGCTCGCTCGTTTTCAAATTGTTTGCCAACTTTTTGCCATCTCGAATTGGCCAATCTCGATGTAGAACGTATGTGTTTGGTGGAGATTACAACCGTTATTGCCAGTAATTGTACAATTAAGCATAATTATGATCATCAGCAGTGATTAGGTAGTAGAAGTAGCAGCCTGACAAGCGATACAGGAAGAAAAAAACACAACAATCAGCTGGCTAAAATGGCTTAAGTGACAGAGCATATAAAAACATATGAGAGAAAGGGCGCACGGCGGAGGGCAAATGGCGAAAGTGGCGCCGAAATATGTGATTTTAGACGCGGAGGAACGAGTCGCTTCAAAACATTGGCCGCTTGCCAATAGGACGAAAATTACAAAAGGAAACTGCAGATGGCGGCAAATGCAAGCAAAGAGGAAGAAAGGAATAACACATGCACAGAGAACTATGTTCATTATGCTGAAGAATGAAAATGAAGCAGTAGAAGTGCCGACACAACGGCAATCAGTTGAAAGTAAAAAATAAATAAAAAATTAATAAAAAATGTATATTTAATTAGATTTTAAAGCGAATCTTAAGTTCGAAAATTAAAACATTTTTTATCGCATTGAGCAGTTGAATCTGGCATGGATTCGTAAATTAAATATTGGCGCTCAAAGGAATGATAACCATGTTGAAGTTGGCTTTTTATTTCCCTTTCCATGGCCTCAATAACAACCATATACAGTGGCGTTCAAAAATTGTCCAGTAACTTATATGGTGTATTTCTATTTAATCTTAGCTGTTTATTTTCCGATATCTCCTAAGAGATTCGAAATTACATCAATAGGGCCACGAAGGGCGATTGCGATTCTAGAAATTCGTTATATGTGAAACAGAATAAAAAACGAGATCTTAATCTAAATGAGACTTGATAGGAAAGAGCGAAGGTTTTTACATAATAATATATTTTTTTTAAAATTTCGGACTTGTAAAAATTATTATTTTTAGATTTTTAATATAAAATATGCACTAATAACAAAAACATTGTACTCAATTTACAATATAGTTACTTGAAGAACATACTTTAAATTTTGAAACAAAAAATTTCGATATTTTGTGCATCTTACACTTTACCAACTCCTCAAGAAAGTGGTAAAACCTTCTCTAATTCATTAATTTATCATTGTCCTGAGTCATTCATCGAATTATTCATCGAATATCTTGTATCATGGTCTGATTTATTTTTGAACACCACTGTATGGTAGAGATTTTAGTCATCACTAAACTCTGAAAAATAACGTATATACATACATACGTGCGTGTGTATGGTATGCGAGTATGTAGGTTAAAATTTTGCAATGTCTGTAATATTTTTCTTGTTGCTGCAGGATTTAAAATTCAATTATGGCAAATAAAGCAAACCGAATTTCGAGGAATAGGATGAAAAAGAGAAAATAAATATTTACTGTAATCTCTAAGCTTTATTTTGTTGTGCCACATACTTGTGCATATGTGCTTTATATATACCATATGTATACTAAGGTTGTAGCAGCTGAGCCTGCTCTGCAAGAAATATCATGTATATATGTTTTTATTTCTTCAATTTGTATTTATTTTTATACATGTTTATGTTGTGAGTGAATGGGAAAAATAGCTCAACTTAATCGGTAACATCTCAAACATATGTGTGATATTTTCAGGAAGTAATAATTTAGTATTAAATAAATTACTACATCTGGTTTGCTGCTTTTTGGTGAATGGGAACAGATAGAACTGATACACTGATTTGTACTCGTTGAAACTTCTATATTACATTTTTTTTTATTTATTAATAATATTACCTCTTTATTGTCAAATTAGTTCCAGTTGCCCCACCACATTGACGAAAATCATTTCAAGCGCTTACAACAATAGTTATAATGTACGCTGAAACAACAAAAATAATGCGTACTAATTACGTCTTCATTTTATCCCAGACGTATCAGTGTAATTTATAACTTTACCGAACCTACTCCAGCATTTTCGTCTAGCTAGAATCGCTACCAAAGTTGCCGATAACATTTATTATATCATTTTACTTGATTTTTAGAAAAACGGTCTCAATAGCGAAAAATTTGTAAACCCGAAACATTTGTTAGTAAAAGTTTTATTAGGAGCGGATAACCAAATTATTTTCTTAATGTATTCCACACTCAATGTAAATGCCAATAAAGTGCTCGAAAAGTAAATGGAATTATTGGATTAGGGCTTCAACCTTTGAAAAAGGAAAAAATTAAAAAAATTATATACGAATTAAACCCACTGCTAAAGGTAGATAATATGACACAGATGTAAGGGAAAATAACTTACGTACGATTTGGAATCGTGAAGTGGTAGCGAGGTGTGCTGGTTGAGTTGTTAAGCCATTTATCTCGATTTACGCAAAAACTATCATACAAGTTCTATGAAAAAAAAATTAAATGGTAGGTAATAAGAGTTGTAAATCTACTTCTGTATTAACACTTTTTTCACATAACTTCAAAATGTATGCCAAAAATTCATATAATCAAGTTTTTAATTTTATGTTTTTATCTTTCACAAAAAATGTTTTCTTTCTCAAAATTTGGGGTAAAATAAACAAACGTAGTAAGTTTTTTGATCTAGAATATTTTTTACCTTATTTTGACTTAACATCGGAAAAGAATATAATTTTTAAGCGAAAGTGCTCGCGTCAAAATATCTACTTTTCACTGTTCGCACTGTTCTTTGAAATCCTTACTATTTAAAGAAAATATGTATTGAAAAAAATATTTACAAATATATATTTTGGAAACCGATACTTTGAGTGAATACCAAAGTTTGTTAGTAATACTTGCTCGTAGGTGTGAATATTCCTTACAGTAACTGGATTTTTATCGGTCAGTTTGTATGGCAGCTATATGCTATAGTGGTTTCACCTGAACAATTTCTCCGGCGATTGTATCATTGCCTTAGGCAATAACCCATGCGAAATTTCGTGAAGATATACATATCTTCAAGTGAAAAAAGCACTTGATTTCGATTGCTCAAAACTAAGGAACTTGTTCGGGCATATACAGACAGATGATCGGACGGACGAACAAACAGACGGACATGGCTAAATCGACTCAGCTCGCCACGCTCATTATTTATATATTGGGTCTTAGACGTTTCCTTTTGGGTGTTACAAACATCATGACAAACTTAATAAACCCTGTTTAGGGTAAAAAATTAAGACTATACTTGTAGTATAAAGTAGTTCTCGAAATCATCCCATTTTGAGATATAACAGACACCTGAACATTTGGTGACCTAAATATTTTTATTATGATATATTTTATGTTTTCTTATTAGAGAGTAAACATTTTAGAAGTTGCTGTTATCCGCTATTTGCTACCCATCTATAAAATAGGCTGTTAAGTTTAATCGATATTTGTTTCTCTGTGCTCTGTGTTTTTGGAAAATCTCGTGTATAACATATGTAGGACAAATAATTTGATACTTATTCACATTTTTTTAGAATGGTTTCTGAAATACAAAAGTTAAAATAGTTCTTTAATTTCTATAATAAATTTTTGTTTGAAATAAAAAAGGATACATTTTAATTAAGGAAATATTTAATTTGAAATATTTAAAAAAAAATATCATTCCTCTTTCAAGCTCTATACTTCAAAAGCTGTTGATTGTAGAAACTTGTATGCTCCAATAAAACAACATACATGTACACGCACTTTTCATAAAAATAATTTTTTCACGTCAAAAATTGATTTGGTGAAAAACATTGTCCTTAATTATTTATACGGAAATTTCAAATTTTGAGTGAGCCAAGCCGCTATTGTACTAAAGCATTTTACCCAGCAGCATAATATTTTTATATACATAATATTTTATGTTTCATAAATTATTAGATTTTAAGGTAGATCAGAGAAAAATAGAATATGCCTTTATACATATGTACGTATGACCATACTTGTATATTTAAATTATTATATGGTGGTACTAAAGATATGCTGAGCCTGTGTATTAAATAGTATTCACCTTAATTCACTTATATATGGATATTGTCAATTTTTGTATTAAAATTTTAATATTTTGTTTTGTGTGAAAGAACTTATACCGATTAAGCACAACAAATTTATTACAAAGAAATATTTTAAACTTGACCCACAAATCCGATTAACGCGATTACATTAGAACATAATCTTTCAGATTTATAACTCATGAGTTATGACAACTTTATTGTTATTTTACGCTCACAGCGAATAGATGTTACGCTATAAAAGCTTGCAATTTCCCACCCAAAACTTTTTGACCGGAAATATTATAATTTTGCAGAGCAAATTGCCGCTGATAGCTCCCCACTCAATGCAGTGCTCTAGAGGAAAAGTCATAGAAATTGTGAAGTGCCCAAGAGGCGAATGTCACCTGTATAATCCGTCTGCAATTTGTCACAAGAGCACACAAGCGCAACACACACGCACACAAATGCTTACAAATGGCAAATAAAAGACATGTGTGTTTTTTCGTTTTTTGTGCGTGTGTTTGTGTGTGGGTGAACGTTGAATAAAGAAGGCAAATGAAATAAGGAAAAGAGTGATGTAGAAAATTAGCATTGCAAGCACATCAACATCGCTGACACCAATGCACACATATGTTCATACACACAAACACACACACACATATGTACATACGAAAGGGTGTCTATGCTAACTTTCACTTCGGTTACTAACTCGTTATGCCCACTTGCAGCAGTTAATCGCGTAGCGAAAGCTTTTAATCTTCGCTCTTTGTATGTGTGAGCAAACACACACACGCATGTGATCTGGAATATATATTTCGCTGCCTGGCATCCACTTGTACTTTTTGCTTTCGTAAACTGAACTAAATTTCGCCATTCATTCATGTTTTCCACTTTTTTTTACTTTTCACATTTTCAGGTCTCTTGGGTGCGTCATCGTGACATTCACCTGCTGACAGTCGGTCGTTACACCTACACGTCGGATCAACGTTTCGAAGCGATGCATTCGCCGCACGCCGAGGATTGGACGTTACGTATACGCTATGCACAACGCAAAGACTCGGGCATCTATGAGTGTCAAATATCAACAACACCACCGATCGGGCATTCCGTCTATCTGAATATAGTGGGTAAGTGACATGAGTTGTTGCTAACGATTTTTTTGTTTGGTTTTTTTCTTGTTTTGCTCTGTTTACATTTTGTTGTTATGGTACTTTTGACACCGGACCAGTACTGCTCAAGTGATAAATGACTTGATGCTTTATTAGGGTAGTTGGCAAAAGGTGGCGGCGCATAACACGTTACGATAAATTTCTAGTGGTTAGTGGGGTGGCGAGTGTTTGGAATGTTGATTTCGGCGTTTTATTCATAAATATTGTTAACTCGAGCACGTATAGCGTCTGGCCTGTGCAATATGAGGAATTGTTGAGCGCGTGAATGATGGAAGTTAGAAATTTTATTCCCAAATACTATTTAGTATGCCGATCGCAGTTAAGTTTTGGCAGTTAAGGAATACAATAAATGATAGCATTAATTGTAAAGAATTGTGTAATGATAACAGCTGCGACCTTTTTATATTAGTTATTGGAATAATCTTAACTTTAAGTGAATAAAAAGAAAGGCTAAATAAGTATTTCTGACTCATTGTACTTCATAAGACATTTAACTTTGAACTTTTCTCCTAAATTTTAAACTATAATATACTTCATGGTTAATGGAAATGCTTAATTCGCCTAAATTTTATAATAAATAATTCGGTATAAAATTCAAGCAAATATGCAATGAAAGCTAAAAACTGTTCAATGTTCTATTACGCCAAAACCAGTGTCAAAATTTCTGGAGGAGACGTGCAGTGGTGTCTGAAAAAGCTGAAACTGACTGTTCTTACTGAGACTGTAACGGATTGGACAGTGGAAAAAACGTTTGAACTTTTCTATGAATTGGATAATATTTTTAGAAACCCACAATGCGCTTTAAGTGAAAAAAAATCAATTTATTGAAAATCTTTGACTGAACTTAATCCCCAATAATAATAATATCCATATATTCAGATATAGGCTTATAGCAGAGACAACAGATTATTAAAAGCTGATCTCAACAAGAAGGGTCTGTTATGCATATCAATATATGCATATATGTATATATATACCTATATACTTATTACTGCAATTCAAATTCGCCTAACTAAATGTAATTCAACAATTTATACGGAGAGATAACATTACTTTAATGCTACTTAGCTATGGCCCGGGTTGCAATTTTTTTAATTTAAACATTTTGGAATTTAAAAATTAGATTTTCATTTTTTAATGTTGGGATTAATTTTTTTATCCAAAATATTCGGGATTTGAATAAACGCGAAAAAAGTTTTAATGATTTCATTTTCCGTCCTCTAATAGGTTTAATATATATAACTTCTAAACCACTAGAGCTACAACAACAACAAAAAAAAACAAGACAAAATCCTATAAGAACCCCTACCGACAGTGTGAAAATTAATCAAATCGGATGTTTACCCCGCCCCATATAACGATTTTGTTAAAAACTACTTTAAGCATGATAAATCAATAACTTAATGCGCCATAGGCATTAAATTTGACAACCAGGAGGATAATATAAAATGTTTGTGAATGTTTCTTTGATAATAATACACCCTTTCGTGAAAAATGGGTTGAATCGAATTATTACTTCCTTTACTCCCCACATACCTAATATAAAGTTTTTCGAACTTCCAGTTGAGTTTATACCACATATATCGTCCAATGTGTTAGTTATTTTAATGAAATTGAGACAGCGTACTTTTATAATAGTAGTGTTAATTTGGTTTTTTTAAACTTGTTTTAGCTCCCATATAACAGATACTCAGAATTTTTAAACATCCGGCTGACTTTACTCCATATATATGTTCATATTCCTATATATTTATATATATAATTGCTTGAAAATAACTTCTGAAATATACCAGAGCATTGTTAAAGGTTAATGCAACAAGCCTTTGCCCCCTATAGAATGATTTCTGATTTTCTTTTCACCATACTTTAACCCGTTTAGGTTGCTCAAAATGTGTGATATTTTAAAGAAATTAAATGGACACGTTTTCTTAAAATTGATAAAATCACATTAATGGTTTGGCGCTCAATATAAATGAAATTGGTCATGTACTAACCCTCATATTCCTATAAAATGAATTCCGATTCTCTCGTTAACCTTTTTTCTCATCAACTCAATATTTTGAATTTATCCTCTTTAGTTGTCTTAATACACTTATATCTCATTTGAAGAATATTTAAGTGTAATTTTCGCTGGTAGGAAATATATAATAATAATAGTGGTCTATGTCGAGTTCATCGAATAATGAAGTTGAATATTTTCTTTTTTTATTAGCCAACACTTTAACCCTTCCTTACTTGTTCAATTTAAATTTTCATTAACTCGTTATCTTGATTTTGATCGATCAATTTATATGTCAGCTATATGCTATAGTGATCCAATTTATACAATTTCTTTGACGATTTCCTATATTATAATCCACGGACATGGCTAAATCGACTCAGCTCGTCAAGTTGATCATTAAGATATAATTTATAGGGTTTTCAACGTTTTCTTCTGGGAGTTAAGAACTTCGTGGCCCCTGTACAGGGCTTAGAAGGTCACTACTAAACACGTTGCAGCTTACTGTATGTATACTGCTTATTGATTAGTGTTTGCATGAAGTCTGATCAACGACTGTTGAACGATGTACTGTGTGAGCAGAGAAGCGTGGAAAATGTAAAATCTCTTTAAATGTTAAACGTTCTTATATTTGCTTTCTAGGAGAAGCGGATCGCAATTTCTGCAAATCTAATAACATAAAATTTTTATCCAGAACTCTAGCATTATCATTTTCCGACCAAAAGTTCGTTGATTTTTATATTCGGAGAGCTCATTCCATACAACTTTTTCCGAGTTTTATCGCACTACAGTAAAAAATTAATAGTCCAATTGTGACTTTAAAATGAAATTGAATTCAGAACTTATTTTAATGTTGTGCAATCTGTTAAAATAAACGCTTCTATTTTTCTAATCATCACTTTTTCCCGAAATATGGCCCTTGTTTGAATTCTTGTAATATTCTCGTTGGGATCTTACCGATGCCGCCACAACATTCTATGTTACATAAAAGAGTGGGAAAATCAGCGAATATACTTGTAGAACCCTCAATTATTATGTAAGCTTTAAAAAAGTTGCCAGCGTGAATTAAAACAAATTTCAGCAAAACCTTTGTCGCAATATTTAAATATACAAGAGAAAAAATATTTCCGAGATCTATGAATTTGACTAGCCATACGAATTCAAATAAAAGCATGAAGCAGAAATAATTGCCTAACCATTAAGCGCAGTTTTTGGTATGAATATGCATGGCTAATAGATTAGATGCCCAGTAAAGCGAGTTGACTATGACGCAAATAGCAAAGAAGTCAAAGTGTCAGCTAACAAAGTGTAACACTCACTGCGACAACTTACTGAGAATGGCAGAGTGTGGGGCTGCCCGTCTGTTTGCAAAGCCATTTGTAGCCGGCGCTGTCGAAGCGGCAGTTGACCCCAACACCGAATACCGAACGCCGAACCCAACTAACTGCCAAATCAACGCAACTGCAGAGTACTTGACGAATGGCAGTTAGTCCGACAGTTTATTGGCCATATTGCTCAGACGCTGTTTGTGCAGCTGTTGACCACTTGATAGCGTGACTTTTTTTGAACTAAAAAAACATTTCGCATTGGCTGCTGGCACAAGCAAGCGATAATGTTGTACGCATGTTGGCGAGGCGGCGGTGGTGCGGTGGCGTGTTGAGCAGCCAGCTGGGCAATGATAGTCACAAGTGCTGCAGTAACTTTTCAACGTTGTATCTCAACTTTTTCCAATCGGCAATTGTCTGCTCCGATGATTCACCTCTTCACCTGCATTTCGCTAAAATGTTGCTATCATTTTTTGTTTTTGTTGCATGTGCACTACTTTTGGTTTATATACACACTTATAGTCGTGAGTTTTGCTTGTTTTCGATTTTCGTTTATTTTTATTTTTTCTTTTCGGAATTTGTTGTACGCTTGTTGTGTATTTTGATGATTCCCTTGGGCGCCATTTGCAGTTTATAGCTGAACATAAGTTTTACTTTGCTTTTTTGTTTCGCTATTGTGCTGATGTTGTCTGCTCAAAGCACTCTTACACACACACACACACATGTTCTTATATTGTAGCAACACCACCACAATATTGTTGCATAAATCACTTCACACTGCTGCCATGAACGACTGGCTTGTAGTATCTTACTGAAATTGACACTCACACACACACTTACACATTGCAAGTGGTTTGTGTGGCTCATAAAGTTATGCTATTTCGCACTTTCCATCTCCATTCCACTTTTAATTTCCACCGCTGAGCACGCTGTGCCGTGACGCAATTATCTGCGCACCTTGCTCTTTATTAATACATAGATTTCCTGCGTATGTGTGCGTGTGCGGTCATATTTTTAAGACGTTTTAAAATTTGTCCACAAGCTTTGAACGCCGAAAAACGCAATTCAGACCACATTGACACCTGTTCTGCTGCTTTGACGCCGCAACACTCCGCCTACCTCAGCTGTACATTTAATTTCTTTATGTGCGCAACGTGGCAAGGTCATGAATTTTGACGCATCTGTGTCAACTTGTAAATGACAGCGTGAATTGACAATTCGTGTGCACTTTACATGCGCATGGAATTATAAAATCATATATACGAATGTATATGCTCTGGTTCCTTGCTATTTGGCAAGTATTTCTTAAATTTAAGTGTTGAGCATGAAGTTCTTTACTTAAATTAATAGTCCGCAACTAATTACATATTCCTTTCCATTGTCACTTACGATACTAAAGTCTCTCATCTACATCAGTGATGACTTCCGAAGAATGTCGGAAGGGAAGCTTCAGTTTTCAGTCACAAACATCTTTAATTTATTACCCCAAAGTCTCCATTATTTTAATAAAAACATGAAAAAACATGTAAAAAGCGCTGAGCTCGGGTGTAACCGAAAATTTTATACCCTTGCAACTTGCCAGAATCAAAGCCCGAAAAATTTCTTCAGTTGTTGGTAAATTTTAATAGTAAACA